AATGATAAATTTTTACCGTCAGTCAATCCGTGAGCTATTCGGCCACTTTCCACATCCCTTAGAGTCTCCTCTCGGATCCCAAGGGTTCGTTCAGGCCTCCACCAGACGCTCGTACCACCTTCATGCAGGTGAATACTGCTTCAATTGTAACCTCGCTCATGGCACACCTGCCCCCAAAGCACCCATTTCATCGTTGTGTACGAGCCATCTACCATCGGTGACAAGGCAACCTAAAAACATACCACAGGTTCGGCTTGCAGTGCCAGTGAGTTTACGCCCCCCCTCCTCCCCCGATGACCAGCTCTAAAGAGGCAAAGAACCAATTGCAGAAGTACGTGCACGCACTCCTGTTATCTGTGCCGAAGGCTGATAAGTTGACTGTCCTTGGCGACTTCAACGCCTGCGTCGGCACAAACCATGCTGCCTGGAGAGGAGTGATGGGTCCCCCTGGTCTCGGTGAAAATGGCCTGCTCCTTCTGCTAAACTGTGCAGACCATCGCCTCATCCCGACCAACATCTTCTTTTGCCTTACGACGCGGCATAATGTAATCGGAACGCACCCTTGGTCACGATAATGGCACCTGCTGGACTATGTCCTCGTTCGGAGGCGAGACCAGCAGAAGGTGCTGGCAAGAAAGGCGATCCCGGGTGCCGACGGTTGGACCGACAAACGGTTTGTCACCTCCAAGATGAGGATCCACATATAGCCGCCCAAGAGACCTCAAGGCAAGCGACCACCAGGCAAGTTGAATACTGCATCGTTGAATGTGCCTGCTCACCATTCCCATCTCAGCAACGAGTTAGCTCATCGACTAGCCAACCTCTCAGTCGCCGCCGCCGCCGCCACCACCACTGATGAGGACGCCTCCGTGTAGAACCGATGGTGCCAACAGAGGGACGCAGTCCATTCAACCGCCCTGGCTGTCCTCGGTCCCGCACGTCGTCAGCACCAGGACCAGTTCGACGACAACGATGCCGGCACTATCAACCTGCTCGCCGAGAGGAACCGACTGCACAAGACCTACATTAACCGCCCTGTCGATGCAAACTAAGCAGCCTTCAATCCTAGTCGCTTTCTTACGTAACAGCGGCTGCGGGAAATACAGAACGTCCGGATGGCTTGTATGACCGAGGAGATCCAAGGGTGCGCTGACCGCAAAGAATGGGAGAACTGTATCGCTGCGATCAAGGCTGCCCCCAGTGCCACAGCCAAAGGAACCACTGCTCTTTTGAACGCCGACAGAACTACCCTACTCACTGAGAAGGGACA